TGAATTCCTTCCCCTGCACTTAATTTTTGCTTTCATCAGAGCTTCCAGTGTTCAAACCCCAAGTTACTCATGCAAAAGCTTTATGTGTGCTGCTACTGAACAAAAGGAGGTTTTTCTGTCGCTCTTAAGCCATCGTAACGTCGGGCTGAAACCTTTGTTGTGACAGTCATTTTCTGTCTTTCTTCGTATTATGAAACCTAAGAGAGGAGAAATTCTGTTCCCGCAGGTTTGATTTACGTTGTCGGTGGTGTCAGCAGTGAAGGAGTAGAGCTCCGCTCTGTCGAAGTCTACGACCCGATATCCAAACGTTGGTCTGAGCTCGCTCCGATGGGCACCCGGAGAGCGTATCTTGGTGTGGCTGCTCTCAACGATTGTATCTACGCCGTGGGAGGCTCCAGTGAATCTCAGGATGCACTTGCTAGTGTAGAAAGATACTCATTTGAAGAGGTACAGTAGAGTCCCTTCCCTTCCTAAATGTAGATTGCATCAGGTTTGTGTAAAATGCTGTAGAGGTAGCCTGCTTCCTTTCTTTAAAAAGAAAAAGCTGGAAATTCCATTTCCTTTTCACTACTGGCTGGTGATCTTGAGTGAAACAAAGCTTTGGTGATCTCAGGGTCTATCCTAACTAGTTGTTGTGGTTTAACCATGCACAGATATACTGTAGGTTAGTAAATACTTGCTAGGGTTAAGGTGAGGGGATAGATTCCTCCTCTTCAGTAGAAAGGTCAATAATTTGAATAGAGAGAAAAAACTCACTGAAAAGTTGAGGATCTTTCTTCTGCATCAAAATGGTGTTTCAGCATGACTAAAATAAGATAAGAAATTATTCCTGACTGTTATTGCTTATGTTTCTATGATGCTGTTTAGAAGAGTAGCTACTGTTAAAAGCAGAACATAATCCAGTGTGCCAATCTGCTTGCTTTTTGAATTCAATCTAGTTTTCCTTATTTCCCACCTCAAACTGTACCATTCTCTATTTTGGAGACAGACTGCATCTTGCAGTGACTGAAGAAAGGGAGGGGTGTTGTGTAGAGACAGTATGGGATCTGCTCTTTAGTGACTAACACGATTTGGACCCCTTGTGAAACTGTTGTCATTCCTGGCTTGATAATCCTCTTGGTACTGTACACATACCATATTGGAGCCTGTGAGGTGCATACATAGTGTTCTTTGGATATGTTTCAGCCTTTAAGCTTTAGAAGTTATTTTATAAGAATGGGGGCTTGCCCTAAAACTACTTGTTGACTCTTTCACCCTCTCATTAGGAAAAGTGGGTTGAAGTTGCTCCGATGAAGATCCCAAGAGCGGGTGTGTGTGTTGTGGCTGTGAATGGACTCCTCTATGCCTTGGGAGGCCGAGCTCCCAGTCCTGATTTTGCTGCTCCGGTAACCTCTGACTCTGTTGAAGTTTATAACCCTCATATGGACAGTTGGACTGAAATTGCCAACATGATCACCAGCCGCTGCGAAGGAGGTGTGGCCGTGCTGTAAAACACAAAGAAGAAAACTCATTGAAGGAATGAGTAAATATGTCTCCTCAGATCTCCGGTTTCATAGGCCAGAAACTTTTTTTAACACAGGAGCTGCAGCGGAGAATTAGATCAGAGGGATTTTCCTGAGCAAAAGGAAAAGCCCTTCAAAGTAAATTGGCTTATCCAGTGTCTGTCTTGGGAAGTATTCTGTTAAGAGTAGGAATGCCTCTTATAACTGGATTAAGCTCACTGAAATAAATGGTGAATTTGCCCCGTAAAAATCTGAAGAAATAATTCCAGCATGTCAGAGACGTTAATCAGGTTGTTAACTCTCTCACGTGCACCCAAGCTGGCATTTTAGCTGCCCTTGGAGTCTGGAAGGGGGTTACTATGGACAGCAAGGAGTTACCTGGAGATAAGACCAGGTGGGCAATTTGGATGGCATTAGTTGTCTTTTTCTGGTGGAAAACAAGGAAGAGAAGGTAACAGGGGGGAAGCTTGGTGTCTCTACTTATGACCTTGATACATTTGAGCCTCTTTTCTGCTCCTGGACATTAAATATGAATTGGATATTTACTTTCTGGCTACTCCACTCACTTGGATGGTGAGTGGCTGAGAATTTCCTATTTTTGAAGGTTATCCTTACAGTTCTAATAATGTCATTCCACTTAAGCATTGGCTTTTCTTCTCAGTGGTATCAGCTATGACAGTAGAGCTCCTTTCTGTGTAAGCTCTGATCAATTCTAAATGGAAATGCTATTCATTAGGTTTGCTGTTCTCTTTAGGACTGCTCTTAGTAAAAAAAAATTAGGGAAAGCCTTTTGCCCCCATTTTGTTTCCCCACAGTTAAATGTGCTTTTACCCCGTGTGACACATGGTGAGACTTGGCATTGGAGTATTTGCTGTTCTACAAGGCACACACGTTCACCTTCACTACATCTTGTGCCTCTTCCAAATTTGAGCCAATGGAGCTTTCTGTGATAGAATTAGCTGCACTCAGCATTAAAGTGATGCTATCAGTGTGCTCTTGAGGAGTTTGTATTTAGCTTGGATACATCTAGTAGAACAATACTACTAGGAGTTTGGAGTTTTTTCTAGATTCATTTAATTAACAAATTTGATGTTGCTTTTTGCGCACTTGTGATTGCATTTTCTGCACAGCTGGGGATGATTTGGATGGAGCCTGAAGTGAGGCTGCTTGGACTTTGATAGACAGTGTTATTCTGGAACACAAAACCGCAAGTGGAATGTCACTGAACAGGAAGCCTGCACTGTGTAGACAAAGGAGCATTCATGCTGTCTAGGTCAGTATCCCCTGTGCAAAAGTAACTAATTAATACAGGAATCAAATCCTCCAAGGTGAGTGCTGCAGGTACCTTAAGAATCTAGGTTTTAAAATCTGACATAGGGTTGGGCTAAAACATGCTACGTGATGGAGAGTTTCTTTCTCTGATTGTTCTATAATCTTGTGTGTGCTTTTACTTCAGAGGATTTCTTATATGTCTGAATTAATGTCTATTTTTTTCAAGTATAAGCTTGTATTAAACAGCATTTCATAATAAAATGTGTTTTCAGAACTGACTGTGGAATGCTCTTGAATAGGTTGATACAATGGGTTGTATCACTGCCACTTTCATATAATAGGTCCTTTTTTCTTTTTATTGAAAATCCTATTTTCCAGTAGAACATTAGAAAAAGGTTGGTTATAAGTTGTGACTGTTTGAATGGTGCAAGTAACACCTTTCTGCAGTAAAACATTCACGTCTCTTCTCAGTGTAAAATCACTCAGACTTCCTGGGAGTCTGGCTGCCTTGCCAGCTCTTTTCAGCCCTCTGTGGGATGAAATTACAGGTAATATTTCTTGGGCATTCTTCTTTACATTTCAGGGTCTCTTGTGGAACCATTGGAGGAATACCTTTGCTGTATTTTATTAGTTTGGGAACTAGGAGTTCACTTTGATCCCTACCCCTAAACTTCCTGGTTTAATGGAGCTTGAGGGAGCCTGCAGTTGTGTGGAGTTACCTTCTCCAGGTTCTGTAGCTGATTCCATCATGTTTGAATGGAACTTGGAAGCTGATTGATTATGGCCTCTGGTACTCAGCACCTCTTTCACTGAATCAAGCCAAAGGCAGGACTCTACTCTGGATCCATCTTAAACAATGACATGTGTAAGTAAGAAAGAACAGAAAAAAACATTTTAGTTCGTAAACTCAATTTTATTTCCTTTATATTCAGAGAGCAATGAAGTATATTTTTGTTTCAGAGGGATGATGCTGTTAACATACAAAAGTTGACAGGTTGCAAAAGTGAGAGGCTGGTGTACAGAGCTGCTGTTTCAGCAATGTCATACAAGATGGCTCTATCTCCAGGACAGGCAGGCTTCTTAAACCTCTGTTCTTTGCAGAATGAACAAAGTTTAAGTGACAATATGTGCTTTAGTCCGGGTAGAACAACAAAGGTTAGTGATTTAAACAACTACGAGGATCATCTGGTCCTAAAACCGTGTGTGGACGTCACTTTTCAGCTTTCTTGCATATTGTACTGTACTTAAAGACTTACAATTAAAAGCTTACAATAAACATGCTCACATACAATTTCGTAGCTTTCTGGAGGTACCTGAGACTAGAGAAGAGAATCCACCTGACTTCTTCCACTAAATGATGTGTTAGGAAGACTGAAGCACAAAGGCCATCTGCTTCTGCAGGGGTTTCAGTAACAGGCCCATCATGGAGGGTTTGCAGACTCCAAATGCATCTGTACCTGTTCTGGGTGCTCAAATATACAGGTTCTTAGGAGGGACAAGACACAAACTACTTTCAATCCCTTAACTAATCCCTTAGTGCCAGCACTGGAGTCCTTGTGTCCTATTGTACCTCTGTCTGTGTGTATAACATCAGTTTGCAGTGCTTTAATTTAGGAGTGTGACAGATCTTCATGGCTGTGTTGCATGCAGCTTCCTTTGCTGGGCAGCCCTAATTCCAAACAAAACCTCAGAGCAGGTGGCCCACATATCCTTTTTATTTCAGTAACCCTGAGCAGGAAGTTGACCTTCTGTCTTCTCTGGTGCCTTGTCAAAGATACAAAGCTCCCCCTTCAGCTTTCCCCACTCCAGCACAGCAACTGAATGACACAAATTAGGTGAGTGCTGACCTTGGCTTGCCCTGCAAACAAACCTCACCTGTCCTTTCTTACTGACTCTGCAGAGCACTTCCTCACACAGCATCCCTGGAAGTGTTCAGGCTGGATGGAGCTCTGAGCAGCCTGGTCTAGTGGAAGGTGTCCCTGTCCACAGCAGGGGGGATGGAATGAGATGATCTGTAAGATCCCTTCCAACCCAAATGATTCCGTGATTTTCAGCACCTTCTCAGGCGAAACAGGAGTCTTGTTCCAGAACACAGGAACTGAACATGGATGTGCTGGTGCACAGTTTCTGCTGCTGCTGCTTTAAACACCAAACTAGAACTGCTTTCACCTTGTTACTGTTTATGACCACACAGTTGTCCTCCCTACCTCAGAACATGATCACACATTATAGTTAAACCAGATACTTTAATAATTCAGCCTACAGCAATTCATACCCACATCATTTTGAATCTCCATTTGAAATTCCTATGGCAGCAATATCTCGTTAAAGAGTGATTCCTTGTTCCATGGATAAGGACAGACTCCCATTTACCTTGGAAGTCATTGCTATTTGCAATCCTTCCCTCCTAAACTAGCTCGAAAGTCAGTAGGAAAATCAAGTTTGCTTTGAGAGTAAGCATCTTGATCCCTGCCATCATCACTTCTAAGCACAAATCAGTTCTTTATTTCTCCTGGAACTCCATGCAAATATCTTACTGGCAGACAGTATCTTTTCCCTATTGATTTATTATTTTGTGTTCTGCCATTTATCTCTGCCTTCAAGTCTCTGCACCTCGAAAATGAGCTTCAGTCCTGCAGTGGCCAATAGGGATAACACCATCACCACTGTTCCCCACACCCTCAGTCTTTTAAACCCTCTCGGGTAAGGGGGAAGAAGGGCAATGTCATAATGCAGCGCTATCCCCAAGGCCATCACCAGCATCACTGCTCCCAAGGTGGCATCCTTGAAGAGCAAGGCCTGCCAGGCAAGCACAGGAGGAACGACACTGTTACCCAGGTTCAGCCAGTCTGGCTTGGCTGGGCTGTTTTCCGGAAGGGCAAAGCCCCACCTCATTCCCCCCAGGAAAGAGGCTGTCACAGCACCGTATGTGACCTGAGCAAAGGCCACCTCGGGGTAGTAGGTGCCCTGGATGACCATGGCCAGTGGTGCCATCACAAAGGGAACCAGCCCCCCCAGGCTCAGGTAAAGGGCCGGCTTGGGAACGTCCTTCAGGGATTCCTTGCTTTTTTCGGATTCTGTCTCAGATTCTGGAGGCTTTTTCTTCTTGGAGACGGGGAGAGAGGTGTGAAAAGCCTGGAGCTGGGTTGCATAAACTGATGCTGGTTTGAAGCTTGGAGATCTTGAGAGAGGACACACATCCCTCCGGAGCCAGAGGCCGAGGGAAGACCAAGTTGTCTTATTCTTTGCACAGAGCAGCAGCCTGGGACCCGTTAACTTCTGGAGCTGCAAGCATAAAACTTGTCCTGAGCACCACACAGTGCAGGCTTACAGACCTGCAGTTACCTCAGCCACCTATGGAATATTGCACCAAGTGGTTTTCCAGGTCAGGTCACATCACAGCTGTCCCTGCTCTTGGATTTCAGGTGTTTTTAACTGAACTAACCAAGGTACCCCATGCAGCTGACGAAGAGCAACTGGGCTCTCCAGAGTGAGTAAGAAAACCTTTACTCACTGCAAAAGGTTTGTACACCCACCCATCCTTCCCCCCACACATGTGTTCTTTAGGCACTTTTAAGATATATCAGTCCCTTTCAGAACAAAATGTAAAATAATTTCCTGCTGAAGCAGGACAAGGTCACCTCAGCAACTAACTACTATCCCCTCACTGCTCTATCAAAAAGTGAGAGGAAAAACAACCTTGAGACAATAAAATTTCATTTTATAAAAGAAACAGCTTTGCCTAAAGGTGCTGTAGGAACCAGGAGCTCTCCCAGAAGAGCTGACTGATAAAACAGCTGGCTACTTCAACTGAAACCCACCTTTTTTTTTTTTCCAAAGCTGCAGTTCATATCTTTTCCTATTTTACTTCTAAATAAAAACAGAGAGCAAAGAAAGGCTTCAGTAACTTACTCTGAAAGATGTGTGGAAGCAGCATCGTTGTATGAGAGGAAACATATTTGTTTTATCAACGTCCTAAAACCAGAAAAATTCAGGAGAAGGTCTGAAACTGATGAATAGGTGAGTTTGTCTTATGTCCAAAGTCTACACTTATCAGATGCTTACTGACTCTTGCAGGTTTATTTTAAAGAAATATATATATGTTTCTTCATTTCTCCTGGAACTCCATGCAAATACCTCATTAGCAGATAATATCTTTTCCCTATTGATTTATTAGGTTCTGTTCTGCAATTTATTGCTGCCTTCTCTTCTCTGTTCCTCTAAAATAAGCCATAAAATATATAATATATGTACTCAATCTGTACGTGCCCACTACAGAATACTTCGTTTCAGGCAGCTTTATGAACTGAAGCGGTAAAGTTTTAATAACTGTTGCAAGAACAATTTCTATTTAATGAACGGAGTATTAGGGAATAGGCGACGGCTTCCCCTTCATGGATCGTCCCCTTTTCAAGGGATAAATGGCTGCGCACAGCTGATAAACGAGCAATTCTTCACATGAGGAAAAAGCGATCTTTAACAAAAGAAGGAGTGGAAAGGCCATCCCATCCCATCCCAAGCTGCAGGTAAGCTCCCTGCGGATGACACTCACCGGGGAAGGCAGTTCCCAGTCCTGCTGCTCCGGGGAAGGGTGGCGGCTCCGCACGGCCAAAGTCCCCGTACAGAGGGAAAGGGGAGAGGAGAAGCCCTATATCCTGGAAGGAGCCCCGCTGCCCACGGGAACCGGGCGGGAGTCGCCCGCACTGCCGCCCCCCCGCCCTCTCCCCCTGAGGTGGCTTCCGGTGCCCCAGGAAGCGCTCCGGCGGCGCTCAGCGCTGCCGGTCCGGGCGGGAACGGGAGCGGCCCATCGTGTTCCGCTGGCCCGAGGAAGGCCCAACCTGAGCCAAGGGCAGCAGCACCGCTGGCTCTCAGCCCGAGGGCCGCGGTCGGTCTGGCAGAGGAGCGACAGGGGCTTCTGCCGCCCGTGGGGTTGCGGGGCGGCGCGGCCGCTCCTCCTTTCTAAGCATCTCGGCAGTGGGCCAGTCTCCCACAAGTGGACTACAGATCCCAGCCTGCACCGCAGCGCGCCGCCCGGCCGTTCTGTGCGCCGGGAGGCGCGTGGCCTTCTGGGACGCGTAGTCTGCGGCGGCTTCCGACAGGCGGCGGCGAGGGCGGTGCGCGGCACCACCTGTGATTGGCGGGGCGGGGGGCGCGCGGCACGGGGCGGGGGCGGGCGAGGGGTGTCCCTTCCGCGTGCTCGGCCCCGCCCCGCGCGCGCGCCGGCCCCGCCCCCTCCGGCCCCCGGCCGGGCAGGGCCGGGCGGCCATTTTGGGCAGAGCTTTGTTATGGTTGTGGGGCCGCCGGAGCTGCGCCAGGGCCCGCCCGGTGAGTGCGGCCCCCGCGCCGCCCCCGCCGCGCCCCACGCGCCCCCCGCGCCCTCACCTGGCCCCTGCAGCCCCGCGGCCCTCCCCGCCGCCCCCCGCGACCACTGCGGGCTCGGCGCGGCCCGGGAGCGGCCTCCCGCCAGGCCGGGTCCCCCCCCACCCCCCCCGCGCTCGGTCCCGCGGCCGCGGCGGGTCCCGGCGGGGGCAGTGCGGGGTCCCCGCGGGCAGGGCCGGGCCGGGCGGTGGGGGGCCGGCGCTCCGCGGGGTATTGTTTCCTTGCTGAGCGGGGAAGTTCGCAGCGCTGACACTGCCGGGGCTCAGCTCCTGTCATGGGGTCGGCCGGGAGCGGGGCGGGGGGGGACGGGCCCGGGCGGCGGGTGAGTGCGGGGCGGGGGGCCGGGCAGGGGCGACCCCGCTGCCGGCTGGAAACGAAACCAGCGCGGCCGCTTCCCCTCGGCTCCTCCCGGGCCGCGCTTCCCGGCTCCCCCGGCGGGAAGGGGCGGTCGGGGCCGGCAGTGACACGTGTGCTGCGGGCGGCCGGGGCCCGGCTCGCCCTGCCCGCTGCCAGCCGGGCTGGGAAACTTGTCAGGTGCCCTTCGCTGCCTGCGCGCAGGAAAACAGCGCCCGGCCCGAGCGTGAGGTGGCTCTTTGCGGCGTGAAAGTTATTTCTGTGCGTCCGGTGTGTTTTGCGCCCCGTTGGCCGGAGCTTTTGCGGGGTTTGGCTTAAACGGCTGTGGCTGGACTCTGTCAGAATGCACGCAGCGCTTCAGAGAGCCATTTGAGACTTTGAATTTATTAACGAGCTGTTTTGGAACGATTTTAGAGCAGTCAGTGGGTGTCTGCACAAGTTTCGAGTTCTTAAACAGCTTTAGAGGAACGGTCGCTATTTAAATCCTTGTACGTAATGGTGGAATGGTTGAAGAGGGCTGCTTAAAAATCTTTTTATGTTAACATGACCAGGTAGGTCAGCCTGCCTTTCCCCGCCCCCGAGGTGTGAGTGACACAAGTGTTAGTAATGTTGATAATACTCTGAAACGTTGCGAGTGCCTGAGCAAAGTGTGGAAACGGCAGCGGGGGGAATGGAGATGAGATAACAGCTGAGATAATTGGGGAGCCATCAAGGCCGAGTTTACTGTAGAGTTGACATTGCTTCTATAAAAAATGTTAGGTGTTATGAAAAAAAGCTTATGCAAATGTTGTTTTCATGAATGACTGTGGCTGGTATTTCAGCGAAAGGTTCCCTGTGCTTATCCATTTGGAGACCGGTATTTCAAACTTCCAGTCTCTGACTCAGGAAGGAAACAGGTGTAGAGCAGTGGTAGGAAGAAATAAAATTCCCCAGATTTAAGAGGGGCAGCTTTTCCTCTTGCATTCTTTCTCATCATTTCTAGAGTAAAGTCCCTTAAGAAGAACTTTTTGAAGTTTTGTATTTAGAATAGAAAGGCTTCAGGTGATACTTCCCTATCTTTCTTTTTTCTTTTTTTTTTTTTTTTACAGCTATTAGTAGCAAAGTGCAGCCTCTGCACTTTATATTCGTCTGTTTTATAGCCTTCATCCTATATGACACAGAAGTTTCCATTGCAGATATCATACGAGGACCTAAAGGGAAAATATGCAGGGAACAGATGGCATTTTAAAGGAAAGCAAGTCCTGTTTTTTCTGAGGGTGTCTCAGAAATATGAGGAGCAGAATGCAGATGTGAAATACAACAAATCAAATGGGAGTGCACACTTTCTGAATGTTAGGAAGAATACTTTACTTGGAGAATATTTGCACGGTATGGTCACCTTGTCTCACAGATGGGACTGTTTGTGTACACGTGGTGTTGCTGCCTCTTGAAATTCCTGTTTTAAATTAGGAAATTAAGTCACCAGAGAAAAAATAATATGCACTAGCATTTTCATGAAACGTAAACAGTATTTCAAGGGTCGTGGGATACTTATTTTTAATACTGAAAAATGCTGCGGTTGGATCTGTGAATTTCTTCAGGAGTGTGGGTTCTCAGATAATGTTCTTGCCTTTACAAAGTGAACAAAAACTATTGGCTCAGGAGTTAAAGTTGCCTTTTTTTTTTTTTTAATGTCAGTATTACAAGTTGCTTGAAGTCAGTTGTGTAACTGCTGAATTGACTTGGTTGTGAAGTGCAGTCCAGGGTGTGCTTTGTTTGTTTGTCGGTACGAAGAGGTGGGAACAGGGCTGACTGTTCAGTGGAGCTGAAACATAAAGCACCTCTCTCCAGTGGAGTAGGTGCTCACATGGACACAGGTTTTCCTTATGGCTTTGTAGAAACGCAAAGAGGGGATGGCTATTGCTCCAACTTACCCAGGGAAAGGTCACAGTTACTGAATTTTGCAGTCGATGAGGTAGTGTGTGTACCAGGAACTTCGTTTGGGATTTCTTAAGTTTTACATTAATTTATTTGTAGAGGGCAGGAGTGGTTTAGTTTTTCTTCTGCAAACTCAGCAATGTAAGCAGGCGTTTTACTGTCACTTACATAGTGACCAGGATGCCAACTAAGTCATGTGGCTTTTGTTTCAGCAAGAGTAATTGAACTGCATGTGCTCTTTGCTCCTCAGATTTGATGAAAAGCAGTGAAGTTGGCAGAAATGTGGTCCTGCTCAGAATACTTCAGGAATGCCAGGATGTTGTTTAACTTGTGTGCTGTAACTTAATGCGTTCCTGTGAAAATGTGCCAAACTTTAATGAGTTACTGTATGGTCAGAAGATAAATTTACATTTTTGGGAGTGGATTTAGGTAGAGATTGATAGTGGCTAAGTGTCCACCGCCCCATACATGTATGTGCAAACACTGTGCAGACCTCAGAGTTCTAGGGCTGGTTCACAGGGCTGTGAGCATGACAGTGAGTGGGGAGGGAAGCATATTGGCTTCATTAATCATAGATATTAGTGATCAGGCTGTATCACTCCAAACTGGAAATTCTTGATTAAAGTGTGCTTAACTATTTCAGTTCCTGCCTTCTCCCTGGCCTGCAGCAGTATGGGGAGAAGAATTTTTTACACTTTATACTACTTAGACCTTTCTATATTTAAACAGCAAAACAGTTCTGCAAAGTGTTGGTGTGTGCAGTTCCATAAAATGACTAATCTGAAATAGTTGCACTTCCAAGGTCTGTCTTAACAAAAATCCTTTGAACCAGTGCAGCCAAACATAACTGAGGTTTTCTGCAATAAATGATGCTCAGAAAGAAATATTTTGCAGTCTGTGACCTTGTGCCCTGGGGACTGTTGTACACAAGAGTTCACCAGGAGTTACTGAAGTTCTGGGATTTATAGTCGTTCCAACAAAAATGCCAGTGTTGGTTTGGTTGGGCTTTTTTCTCCTTGAATCTTGTGATCACTTCCAGTTCAGTGTTTTACACAGTTTCATCCTCCACCCTGAAAGGAGCATCACAGCTTCATGGTGTGATGCTGGTGACTCTTAAGGAAAGGGGTGGGTGGGTGTGTATAATGTTGTCTAAATACATGTCCCCGGTTTTAGGAATCCACTTTTTCCAATACAGGAAGAAATTAAGATTTTTAATTTGATTTCCCTTGGAGCAGTTTATTTTCAGTGTCAGGTCTAGGTTTAGGTGGACTGTGAGTGTCAAGCATAGTAAGGGCCAGGAGGGCAATGGGGGTAGAGGTTTAGGGTGGCAGGAATGGCTTTTCTGGATATCTGTGTGACCCCCATGGTGTAGTTACAACATACAGAGCATGTGGCAAGGAGCATCACTCTTGGAATTTTGTCGTGTTCAGTTTGTGATGAAAAACTAACTTGTAAATAAAGGACTGAGTCTGCCAGGGAGGTACATGGTATTTTTCTGGGCACAGAAATTATTGGTGTTCACAAAGTTGCTGTGGGTTTGTATGGTAAAGATTACAACAGGTCTCCAGCCTTTCAGCAGAGAGGAGTGTTTTGCCATTGTATTACAATGCGTCACCCATCATCAAGGGATTAATCAGGGCTCACGTGAGATGGTCTAAAAAGACCTTTGATGTTAATCTTAAAAAAACTCAGCAAGGAAGTCTCATCCTGAAAATGTTGAATGTGTTATGATCTTGCCTGTTAGTTTGGCAAAACTGTCTTTCCTCTGCTTTGAACTCTAGTTAAAAGTAGAGAAACAGGTTAATGGCAACTTTCAAGTCTTCGGGTTGACTGGGCCTTATGGAAGGTATCCTACAGTATTTAGGGAGCTGAGAGCCTGTGGGGTTGGGAAAAGTTCCAGAATGCTGAGGAGTTGAGGTGCACTTTCCCTCACAACATCCAGAAAAAAGGCAGGACTCGGCTGTGTTCAAGGGGAGCACGTTCACGTCAGGGACTCTGTCCTGGATCATGTACTTTTTGGTGGTTTCACTTCTCTGTGTTGAAATAACATTCTTACTGAACACACAGATCTTGACAAATTCAG